TGTTTGGAGGTCTACCATTGAGTCTCCAGCATCTCTCTCGGGTGTGCCGATATTTTTTGCTATAGGTGCAATAAAGATTGTCCCTATTGAATGGCAGTTTGTATGAACCCGTAGGCTTGATGGTGCTCTCCGATTGTGAAACTTCAGATTCTTTTGAACTTGTCCCTTTTGCTACAAGAGCTGATCCTTCATTAATTTGAGTTTCAAGCATAACACTCCTCCGTCCTTCTTCTGTCCGTATTATGGCCATTGTCTCATTCAATGATGGAAGATCTTCTTTTCCTAAGATTTGCACTCTCACTGAATCAAATTCTGCATTTAATCCTGCAAGAAAATCATAAATCCTTTCTTTTTCAATAAATCTTTTCAGAATTACAGCATCATCTTTACAACTCATTTGAATGCATTGATAATGATCCATTTCTTGCCATAACCCCTGTAAAAAGTTAGAATATTCAGTGACAGGTCGAGCTCCCTGTTTTGCTGCAGAAAGTTTTGTTTTTATTTCATAGATCCTGGCAGCATCATGTACTTTAAACATCACCATTACATCATGTTCATCCCATGCATCAAACGTGGGGTCTTCTAGATTACAACAATTATCTTTAAGATCTTAAGGGATCAAATCTTGATATGGAGAATATCCTCTATCAGCCAACATCTGGAAGCATAGAGTTCCATAACCAAGACATCACCATTGCATCATGTTCATCCCATGCATCAAACGTGGGGTCTTCTTTAGATGGTCCTGTACCAAGAAGGTGTCGTATTTTCCCTTTACCCTTTAAAAAGGTACGAACCAGTTGAGCCCATTTAAGGTAATTTTTTCCATTCAACCGATAAGAGGCTTGAATGTTTTGCAGATCACCAGATGAAACTGTAGAGTTATTCTCTACAGTTGCAGAAACAGTTCCAGAGGCTGGAATAGTTGCAGCAGTCACATTTTCTGGCATGGTTCTTGAGTGGTTTCAATCTTTGGGCAGATAAAGATTAAAAAAATATATATTTCAAGACAAGATGAATAAAACTAGTAAGGAATAAGCCTAAAGCTCTGATACCATGTGGAATAAGATAGTTGAATAATTTTATTCATATCTTTCTATGTCATATACAAGGCTTTATATACATGAGAGATTGAATCACCTAGATCCCATGAAATCTGGGATTCTATAAAATCATATATTTTACTAAAAAGAAGAAAAAGATATTCTAGATTACAACAATTATCTTTAAGATCTTAAGGGATCAAATCTTGATATGGAGAATATCCTCTATCAGCCAACAGTGTCCTTGGTCTTTCCTTTGACATTCATGATTGTCCCCATAATGTTATCACATATATTTTTTTCAATATGCATAACATCCAAATTATGTCGCAACAAGAGACGCTTCCAATATGGAAGTTCAAAAAAGATACTTTTTTTGTTCCAATTATCCTTTCGATTTTCGTGTAAGATCTTCTTCCTTTTCTTTGGATCCTTTGTTAACTGTAGCCTTTCAAGATCTTCCACTTGATTAAGTATCTCTGTACCAGAATGCACTTTTGTTGGGGGTCTTGTCTCATTTGTACCATCAAACGACTCCTTCTCATTCCTCCATTTGTGATTATGAGGAAGGTAACGCCGATGACCCATAAAACATTGCTTCTTGCAATTAGTCAAACGAGTTGAGGAAGTGTCTTTATTACAACATGGACATGCCAATTTCCCTTTGGTGCTCCATCCAGATAAATTTCCATATGCTGGAAAGTCATTGATGGTCCATAACAAAGAAGCATGCAATTTAAAATTCTGTTTAGCAGATGCATCATAAGTCTCAACACCGACATCCCACAATTCCTTCAACTCTTCTATTAAAGGCTGAAGATATGTATCAATTGCATCTCCTGGACTAGTTGGACTAGGAATAAGCATTGACAAAATAAAATTTTCTTGTTTCATACACAACCAAGGAGGTAAATTATAAGGAATAAGAACCACATGCCAAATGCTATGTCAGGTTTTTGAATTCCGAAATGGCTGAAATCCATCACTAGCAAGTCCAAGTCAAATATTACGAGGCTCGGCTGCAAATGAAGGATGAAGTTCATCAAATGACTTCCATGCCATTGAATCAGCTGGGTGTCTCATTATCCCATCATCAACTCTTTTATCCTTATGCCATGTCATAAGAGTAGATGTCTTTGTAGACATAAACAACCTCTGAAGTCTAGGTTTTAAAGGAAAATAGCGTAAACTCTTTGAAGCTATCTTTTTACCTTTTTTATTCCTTGTTTCGCCACTATGTGTATGTATTTTCCATCTGGATGCCCCACAAACTTTGCAAGAATCAAGTAGGTTATCCTCCTTCCAGTATAACATGCAATCATTAGTACAAGCATCAATCTTGTCATAAGAAAGCCCGAGTTCTCGAATTATCTTCTTTTCCTCATAATATGAGTTTGGCAAATTGGCTTCATCAGGCAACAACTCTTCTTTCAACAATTTCAATAACATTGTAAATGACGCATTACTCCAACGACCCATACTTTTGATGTGAAGCAATTTAATCAAAGTGGAAAGTTTTGAAGCTTTTGAATTTTTGTATAGTGGCAGCTCGAAATCCTTAAATAAGTTGTAAAAATATTTTGCTTCAACATTTGGTTCCTCCTCAAATAGATCATCACAGTCAGTGTTTGTATTTCCTCCATCATGATTAGGATATAAATCTCTCAACAATTCTTCTACCTCATCCTCACTCTTACATTCTTCTACTGCATCGCCATTTTCATCTTCATCTTCATCTTCATGTTCAGATTCTAACAAAGGCTCACCCAAACATTCACCATGGTGATACCAAAAATTATAATTCTGAATTATTCCATATACTATCAAATGTGTCTCAACTATTTCACGAGTCCCTAAAGTTGTATTGCAACATTTGACACATGGACATCGTATTTTATATTTCTCTCCTGTTTTTCGAAAAGCATAATCCAAAAACTTTTGCACACCAACTAAGTAGGTTTCATCGAGCCGATTGTCAACAAGTTGCATCCATTGTTTACTAGGAGCCATAAACTTGAAAATTACACACAAATTTTTAAAAAAAATATAAAGAATAAGAAAAATAATAAGATCTACAAAACTTGTTATAATCAGATGCACCATGAAACTAACAAAGTGAATGATGGATTGTCTTGTCTTCTTTAGAACATAATTGAAACCAAGTTCATATATACACTAACTTCAACATACTCCCAAAAGAAATCAAGGGACTTTTGAATATGGATAGATGGAAAGTTCCCTCAGTAAGAACACAAAGAAGAAAACCTGCTAGGCTAAATTTTTATCCTCAATACTAATATTTTAAATTGTTGGAGGAATATGTTACTTGTATAGATATTATTCTTCAAGTTGCATTTAACGTGTCTTAACATTATAAAAGATATATGGAGTATCAATTCTCTTATGTGGAAGCTTATTATATAGCTCGCTCAAATCACTTGTAACTTTTTTGGGTTCCAAAGATGAATAAAACACAATCTGTTGGAAAAAATATGGAATCAAATGGCACAATGAAAAATAAAAGATTACTAGCATCATTTTATATTTCGAAATAAGTAACTCGCAGTCTCAAAGTAATGCATAAAGAAAAAACTAACATAATTAGAAATCGCTTATCCTAATGAACATACACCGATATATTATTCTAATTAAACAATATTACTTTTTCCTTTGAGTAGCAGAATATGTAACTATTTATATGACTACATCGTTTATATGTCCAAACTCCAAAACACGTTAATTTTCTAAGTAAATCACAGTAACTAAAGATAAACAATACATTTATATAAATTTGAACATGAATAATAGGAATAACAAGAGCCTCACTCTCTCTAGGTGACCTGTTGCTTAAGGTAATTTAATCTGATAAGATAAGATGGGAGGAAGTTCAGTCAGTGATGATTGAGAGTTTATTGAAAATGAAACTCAGACAATACTTATGATTGGGTGTATAGGTGAAGGAAAAAGTCCCACAGACAATAGCTTTCTTGGTAGAAAGCATTCAAGTTGAGGTCTAGCTCTGGTGGTGTTACAAGAACTTGTGAGATTCAGAGGACTCAATTAGAAGATGGGTAGATTCTTGATGTGATCAATATCCCTGAATTTGATTTTAATGCTGAATCTGGATTAGTTGTAAATGAAATTGGTAAATGCATTGATTTGGCCGATGATGGTGTCCACACAGTTCTTTTTATTTTGTCTGTACGCACTAGCTTTTCATAAGAAGAACAGGCTGCTATACATTACTTTAAGAAGCTCTTTGGGACCAAAATTAGTGATTACATGATTGTGGTCTACACTAGAGGGGATAAGCTCGAAGATAATGATTCTTTGAATAATCACTTAGATTGTTCCTGCCGTGAGGATTTAAAGGAAGTTCTTAAGATGTGTGGGTATAGACAAGTGCTTTTCGACAATAAAACTTAAGATCCAGCAAATAAAGCTGAACAATAGAGGGAACTTCTTTTCCATGTGAATCTGGTTGTACAAACGACTGGTGGAAAACCATATGCGAGTGAATTATTTGAGGAAGTAAAGAAGATGAAGCTCTGTAATGACTCATTGGAGGTTAGTTCTTTTCTCGGAGATTTAAAGCAAAGGGTAGCTGATGAGTTGAAGGAACAAGTGCAGAGGTTCTCTTTCAAGGAGCAATACAGGCGAATAACCGAAATGGTTGAATCAAAGATTAACAATACCATGCATAGTCTTGAAAAGCAATTGGAGGAGCGTACTGCTCGGTTGCTGACATATACTATGTGGATTTCCACGAGGTATTGGGTTGGAAGTATGAACAAGCTGTTGAGCCATCGTAGAAGTACAAGGAAGGGAAATTTGTACTCGAGCTATGCAAAATTGCTGACATATATTGTGTGGATTGCAACGAGGTATTGGGCTGGAAGTATGAATAGGTTGTTGAGCCATCTCAAAAGTACAAGGAAGGGAAATTTGTACTCGAGCTATGCAAAATTGTTGACATATAATGTGTGGATTTCCACGAGGTATTAGGCTGGAAGTATGAACAAGCTGTTGAGCCATCGCAGAAGTACAAGGAAGGGAAATTCGTACTCGAGCTATGCAAAATTGTTAAAGACAATTGGTAACTCATAACCATAGTCTTTTTTATTTTATATGTCATTACTTGAAGCAAGTATTTTTTCCTTTCTCGAAGCTTTCACTCTACCTAACTTTCCATCAGAATTATCAACATCCGTATTGTCACTTTCGTTTCATGTTATAACATCGTTTGTTCCTCATAAAAAAAAAGAATAACAATTTAGTCGAAACTTTTTCAAATGTAAGTAAAAGTTTCAATAGGAATAACAGAACAAGTCCTTATTTGGCTCACAAAGCATCGAAACACTGATTATATAAAACTAAATTATGAAATCAGAAAATTAAATTATCTATTAGAAATCTCAACCCAATAATGTCTTCACAGATTGTACAAAAAAAGGACAAGATTAAGAAATCAGTAACATTGAAAAGACAAAAAACAAGAAGAGCAACTTCAATACAACAAGAAAAAACGTAATCAAACAAACTTCTGGAAAAAACAAAGCAACTCAATGGGAAGAAGAGCCAACCTGTAAGTCTGCTGCTAATGGCTTCACAGATTGTACAAAAAAAAAGACAAGATTAAGAAATCAGTAACATTGAAAAGACGAAAAACAAGAAGAGCAACTTCAATACAACAATAAAAAACGTAATCAAACAAATTTCTGGAAAAAGCAAAGCAACTCAATGAGAAGAAGAACCAAACCTGTAAGTCTGCTGCTGTGATGAAACTTTACCTTGAACAGAGAAACGATGGTACTTGCTTTGATTTTAGGGCAGAGCTGCGACAAAAATAAAGTGTCAACGTTGAGATTAGGGTAGACAATTTCGACTGGAGAGAGAACTAGCTAGGGTACCTTTGCGACCAGCTGTGCTATAATTTTGACAAGACAGAACGCTGCTTTTCTTTTATTTTTCACTTTCAATGTAAAAATTTTGCCACCTATGATTTTGTTAAAATAACTTTTTTATTTTATTATTTTAGTATTATGTTTGGGGGGAAATATCTCCCGCTGAAAGACCATTTGGGA